TAGCGATGGTCTCCAACCTAATAGGTTTGGCCTCCAGCCTAATAGTGATGGCCTCCAACCTAGTAGCGATGGCCTCCACCCTAGTAGTGATGGCCTCCAGCCTAATAGTGATGGCCTCCAACTTAATAGCTTTGGCCTCCAGCCTAATAGTGATGGCCTCCAACCGAATAGCGATGGCTCCAACCTAGTAGCGATGGCTTCCTATAGCGATGGGCTCCACCCTAGTAGCGATGGCCTCCAATCGGCATTAGTTATGATAACTCGATCTACATTCGTTTTTGTTAGCGTGAACCGCATGGTGCACCGAAGAAGCTTGCACGACAACTTATCAACTAGAGCATTAGAGAGACTTGGCCTAACGCAGGTGTGCCGTAGGATGTTTGTATGTTGTTCCGAGTCCAAGCGCTCCTGTCCCCCACGTGTCACATATATGGAGAGAGGCTTTTGGTGGCTTTTGTGTCTACAGTTTGTATACATCTATATTCAGTATTTCATGTGTGATAAGAACTATATAATACACGCATGCATAGTTAAATCTATATAGCTACTTACTTATAACTGGATAACCAAAGTAGTTTTTGATAAAGACATTTGCACCATGAAATCGTGAAGCGTAAATGTGCTTGTATGACTGCCAGATGGGTGACCCAAAAACATACACAGGCGTTTCCTTGTTTCGAGAATTTCCAAGCCAACGCATGGCCCAGTTTTTCCCTTTGCCGGGGAGACATGGCATCAAAAAAGGAGCCCCCATTGTCGTGAAAGAAACGCGACATCAATCAGATTGACGCGGGTGAACCGCTGATGTTGGAGCGAAACATCCCTGCAGAAGCCTTCCACTTTTGACACCATGCGCGGTCATGCACGTTGCCTGCACCGTGCTCCAGGTGAATGTGATGTTACTCTCAATGGAGACCTGGATCTCGATGATGGACGTGTTTTTTAAACGAGATGGAAGCAGAACAACTCTGAAGTTCACTGTTGTTTCTCCTTGATCCTTTGGACACTATCCTCCCCATTCAGCAATTCAACCAAGCATGGCCGCACACCCTTCGCATTTTGAGGTATCAAATCTCCTGTGAGTTTGGCATGGTTTGGCAACAACTTAGTCATGCTTAGTCCATGAGCCGCCCATCTCCAGAACTCACCAATTCTCACTGAGGAGATCTCCCCCAGTGGGCTGAACCTCACCGTGGCACATCATGTGATTTTAGCCCAGCCCACCTGTCGGATGGCCGATCAACCCGAAGAAAGTGTGGACTTCGAGGCTCGTGGTGCGCTGAGGTTTCGAAAGGCGGAGTCCGGGCGGAGCGGCGGAGCAGCGGAGCGGCTGGGAATCATACTCCGTGGACAGTGGTAACATGGGCCCGTGGAGTCGGCATGCGTTCCTTTTGAAATATCAGAACTGGACATGCTGATAGGATTTGAGCCCACGGGGTCCAATATGGTCCAATGAACTCACAATGTCCCAAATTGGCTGCCAATTGGCTGCAGACTTTGGACCCTGAAGATTTGGGCCGGGCCTCGAGGAAAGATGGATGGCTTTCAGCACGCCATGTTCAGGTTCTGTGTTTGTTTATGTCAGGGTATGTCAGTTTGGCGGGTTTTCTTGCAGTGTGCATCAGCGTACTTTGCCCTTTGATTTGTCAATACATGAGTCCTTTGAAGTTGCCAGGAACAAGCGATCGGAAGATGTTGGCGCCAGGGTCAGCGATCCATCGTGCACGTGTGGCGCCTTTGCATGCTCGGCACCGTCGAGGAGGAAATGGTGCACCAACATATGGCCTTGTGGACAGACAGACAAATTCGATCTGGAAAAAGGCCACAAGCAGTGAATCATTCTGCACAATAGATGAAATCTTCTTTCAGATGTGATTTGCCTAATAGGATACCACATCCTGGGGCCTCTCGAAGGTCTTGGAAGATGTCTTTTAAGTGTAGAAGTTCTTTACCGAATTGGCCGCCGGCAAGTTGCAAAAATGAGGAGTGTCCACATCCCTGGATTGTGGTTGAATTTCATTAGGTGGGGGTCAGGGTTTCTTTGTGTAGACTCCTCTGAAAGTAAAAGAGAGGGATTCCTGATAGAGGTGAGCCAGACAATCCCTAATGCCTGGAGAACGGTGACTACCCCTGCATCCCTATACCTTTGATCTCTGAGATTTCTGTCACGCCGGAATTTCTCTCCGGATTCGTTGCAGTCAGAAATGGCAATCCGCCCAGTGCTAGCCTGGACCTTCACAACAACTTGTCCTGCATCCCAGCCATGGTCACCAATCCAGAGGCCAATCACCAGACATCCTGCTTCTAGGTCCCTGGCCGTTATGCCTGTGGAGGTACTGCAGCAGATATCTTCAAAGAAGAGTCTTCTCAATTCGAGCCCTGGCTGCTTTTGGTTCTTCATGTCTTGGGCCCATTTGGCGTTTTTGACAGCCAGCGTGATTAAGATGGTCGACGATCATTGTTCGTGCATCAGGCAATGGATCACAATGGAGTTTCAATCAGCGGCAGGTGCAACCGTCCGATGATGAAGCAACCGTCCGATGCATCGGGTTGGAAAGCACGCACTGAGGGCACTATGACCACATACAGAAGGATGTTGCAGCTGCTGTGCTGGGATTGGTGGATGCATCAAATCCTTTTTTGGACCGTTTTGAGCCAGTGCGTGACCCGCATAGGTGTCGCAGGTATCGAGACCCAGTAGACCGGGCTAGGCCTTTGGGCACGGACAGTGGTGAAAGCAGCGTGCGAGATTGGCTGACCTTTTTTGTGGTTTAGATCACCCCTACTCTAGTAATTATGTGGTGGGAGTGGTGTGATTCTTTTTCACCGATCATCTCAGCGACACTCTTTCAGGCTAGCAACCTTGCAGCCTCGTGATCGGAAGAGCTTGTGCCTTGGATGATGGAACCATGGGGAGTTGAGCAGGTGCGGTGAGACCCCCTCAGGAGATGTGAGGGATATGTCAGGCGCCAAGCCGACATGGGTTCACAAAGGACTTGTGCCCCCAGAGGGGTTGCCCCAGGTAGATGAACAAGAACCTTCAAGTTTAAACAAGGGCAAGAACGCGTTTGTTCTTTGTTGAGCATGTTGGAACTTAATTGGTGCACCGCCCTGAAGAGTCACTGCACATCTCAACACCGAACCTGACCGACCTATTGAGGGTGATTCCTGCAGTCATTGACTGTTGACCCTGTTGCTAGTAGCTTCTTGCTACTATAAGGCCAGGAGCTAGGTTCGTAGCGTTCTTGCTCCTAGTAGCGATGCCCTTTGTTCCTAGTAGCGTTTTTGTTGGCCCACTGTTCTTTTTGACAAGTTTTGGAGATGTTTTTCTCGACACCTTTGGGAGGCAGCCGCGCAGTCAAGCCACACAGGTCAGGGTGGCCGGCACCTTTGTGTCCCAAACATGAGCATCCGACACATCTAGTGCATACTAAACTAGTCACGGGGTGGTCGGTCTTGGGATATTGGAAGCCTGCATAAGCCTGCATCAACCTGCATCACTGATGGGGGGCCGACCCGTCTACCGATGCCCTTTCGATGCATCAACCACTTACGGAAGCACGCTGCCACGTTACCTTTGTAGCTGGCGCAAACACTTGGTATGTTGCCTTTCTTAGTTTGAGATTGAGTTGCTTACGGCAGTATACAAGACGTGTTGCAAGACCTGCAAGTGTCCAACCACTGAATAGTTTTCTCACCGCAGTGCCTTACCGATGCCCCAACCGATGCCGACCGATGCTGACTTTGAACATGTTTGTGTCCATGCAAGACTCCTCCACAACTTGTACAGGCACTACTCGACTTTGAACATTTTTGTGCCCATGGAAGAACCGCTTCCCCACAACCGGCACAACCACTACAGCAGCTGATTCGTTCCCTCAGTGTTGGCGTGCCAACAATGGCAAGCTTGCTGCCACTGACAAAGCTGAAACGCAGCCAGCCCTACAGACCTGCACAGCCAATGGGGGCACCCATTCTAGGCAATGTCTTGAGGCTAGATAGGAGATTGTGTCCGGCACACATATGGATATCGTTTTTTTGGCTATGGCATATTACAGAATAGTGGGTCGATGAGATGATGAATAAGAAAAATGATTGTTGAACAGGAAGCTGGACCCATCGGTGCAACAGCTACATCAGCTGGGGCCTCCTTGCAACTTGGCTTTGAGAAGGGGGAGGTCAAGAATCAGCCAAACTTCAGTAGGAAATTGGGATTTGACAGGTCTTTCGGCGAGGTCGCCTGTGTGTTGCGATGTCTCCAGCGTTTTGCAATTCCAAACGCTTTGGAATTCTAGTGAGCAAAAAGGACAGCAGAATTGCCATCACCACAGACTGTCGAAGTGGCTAGGGTGGCCCTCCGTTTTGGGACTTCTTCCGAGAACCGTGATCTGGGAAGATTGTGCATACTGCCCAGCAACAGCTGCACCAAGGTGTCATTCAAGGGGTGCCTTTGTCCAACTGCACGGTGACAGTGGTGCTACGTGCCTCGAATGGAGATCTGGGTGGAGATGGTGGAGTCAGACTGCTAGAGACATATGTGATTTAAGTTTATATATATGTATATATATATAGTATATTGCCAATTGCTATCCATCGGCCGATGTCTTGGAGTTCGTGTCTCCAGCATTTTCTGCCAAGCCCACATCCGGGATCCAGGCAGCCACTTGGAGGCCGAGGTCTATTCATGGATCCCGGCTGCTCTGGTGGCACCTCGCATGGAAAAATGTTTCTTCATTGAGGTGTTCAAGCGCGCAACGGGCAAGTTGCCAGGTCTTGGCGACATTGGTCAACCAGGTCTCCGATTGATTGGAGTCATTCAGCCAGAGGGGAGAATGCTTGCAATGATTTTGGGGATGCACTAAGCAAGCCGCAGATTGCCCTCGAAAAGTGGTGAAGGTGTATGCATAAAAGGGAAGTAAGTCAGTGCGTGTGGAGTCAATGAAGTTTTGTTGTCCAACGGATCCGAACACCTCTCCATATTTCCACCAACAGTGTTTCTTGAAATCCTCTCAGGATCGCCTTGATGAGAGCAAGGAAGTGAAGAATCTTGGAGCTCAACGGGCGCTTCACTCACTTGTTGTTGGTCGAGTCATGCGCCTCAACGGGGTAAGGACCCAAGGCACTAGTTGATGGCGTTGATGGTGAAAGTAAAATGGTCTAACATCCTGCAAGTGTGAAAGATGAAGAGGAGGTTCCACTTCACTCTGGTCCGTCCGCAAAGGAGGTTGGCCTGGTCAAGTGCATGCTGTGTGCTCCTTTGGATCCCCAACTCAATGACCAGTTGGTTTAGTTATGTAATATATATATATATATCGTAAGACATACACTTAGAACATCTTTTGGGAAAAGTAGTATCTATTTTTTCCACAGGTGAAATGTTCTAAGTGTATAGGTCGCGATGTCTAAGAGTATGTGCCAGCAGATGTTCAAACCCTAGAGTAAGAACATCCCAGGCCCTCGCACCTACACTAAGAACATAGTCCGACACCTACGCTGGATGTTCTAAGCTCGATGTTCTAAGTAAAGGAATTTCCATTTTGGAAAAAACATGATGTTCTAAGTATATGTCTGCAAGTATAGAGATGTTCACTCCAATCAGACAGTTGATGGCGTAAATCCCCCTTGGTTGCGCCATACTGAAATCCTACGGGTAGACTACCAGATTTCAGAAACAAAAAAAGAGAAACAACTCTAAAAAAGGAAATCAGGTACTGTAAGGCCCCAGGAAATTACAGCAGAAATGATGCTTTTTTGATATCCTTTTGCTCAAGGTTAGGCGCCAGGATTCCAAAAACACATTAGACCACAGGATTTTACTAAAGCTGTAGGATTTCACAAGGTAGAGATACTGGGGTTGGGCTAGGATTTTAGAGATACTGGAGAGGACGCTTTTCGTGGACAGTTTTCGAATCGCCTAATGGTACGTCACCGAATCGCCTAGTGGTACGTCGCTCGAAATTTTCCCACAATTAATGGTTTCGGAAGGCACGAAACCTGCAAATTTCCGAGAAATTTCGTTGCAAAACCTCCAATTTCCGGAAGAATTTCGGGAAAATTTTGAGTCTTCGGTCATTTTGATTTTCTCTTACCTTTGTACCGAAGCCCGGCGCACAATTTTAAACGGTCACGTAGGGTGTGTTGTTTTATGTAATAAATATGCTCGCTGCTTGAGTGCGTTTGGGAGGGCACTGGAGGGACCAGCTAAGGTAGATACCCAGGATTTGATAAGCATTTGATCAGCTGTCCTTGTTTTCTCCTTGGTTCCCAACCCCTTGACACACGTTGGTCCAAAGGTTTCTATAACAAGCACCTCTTGCCTCTTGGGGAAAAACCCTAGGGCACCACTGAAAAACTAGAAAGTCACCTTGGTTCGGTAGGATTTTAATACGTAAAATCCTGGGGATCTACCTTAGCTGTTGGTACTAAAGGGGATGCGTAAAGGAGAATATCGCACCATGTGCATCTAAAGAATCCCAATATCGACAATCAATGAGCGTAAAAACACCATGAAAATCACCAAAACTTGACTGCGAGAACCTCGCTATGTTTTTGGCAGCTGATGTTGAGATATACATGCTCGTGCAGGGGCCTCTTTCGGAGTTTTTGTCAGTTTGTGTTTTCACTGCTTCCATGCATGCAGAGGCGATTGCAAGAAGCGTGCAGAGTTGATTCGAGAGGTTCAAACGCAGTGTGCAGGTTCAACTCCACGGTTTGCAAGTTCTTAGGCACATTTTGCCTATGCTGCTATGATGCTAGCTCATGCATACCTTTTGTCCACAGCCCTCTCAAGTTAGGTGCTGCGGCATATACTCTTTTGAATTTTGTTGGAACATGTCATCCTTGGCCGCTGCTGCTAAAACATGGCTTTCCCAGTTTGCAAGATGTTTTGGTTTGCTTGGGGTGATGCAAATGTACAGGCAAGTTGAGCCATCAGTGTATCCACCGTCTCGTTATTAGAGTTGCACCATCCATTGTCCGGGCGGTGGAGACACAACATAGGACATGGGAACAAGTTTGGGACCCTTGCGCGCACTTTGTGGTATTGGCATGTATTGGCGCAGGATGGCGCAGGAACTAAATCACGCGAACAACTCATTAACTCTCATTAGCTAGAACGGTTAGTCCAAGCAACCAGCTGGGCTAAAAGGCAGAAACAGGCCACAGT